CACATCTCGGTATTTAAGCCTTGTCGCCTCTCGCGTTAGTCACTCGACACAGCCAGTTTTACCGCTCGCACCTTGCCGAGCTTAATTTTTCTAGTATGCTGTTTACGTTTAGTCTCGTAGTTTACAGTGATGTAATTCGTTTTTCTCCGCCACTACTTTATTTCTTGTATGTTTAGCTTTTTCTCGTCCCCAATAAACACAACTGGTCGTGTCCTTCCTATTTCACGTGTTGTTGCCTTTCTGCTGATTAGAACTTAAACGTTTTCTCTGCGGCGGAACGCAGTGACATAGCAGAGAACTGCAATTTGTTTTTCTATCTCAGCTTTGTTTACCACTATAGTTAGATAAACACTTAATAACAAACGCTCTTCTGTAGGGAAATACAAAGTTAACTACAACATTTTGCCACTAAACCAAACATGTAAAAGGGAAGGAAGAAAGTGGTTTGGAATGGCAAAATTAAACAATTAAGTTGTGCAGTTTGCCATCTTCTATAACACTGGACGCTTCAACATCGATAATCATCCCCATTCTCCAAGATTGAAAATATCATATTTTAAAATTTTATTTTAAAAGCTTTAATTCCTGAAAAGTTGACAAAATTCATCACGGATGGAGTTCCAAGGTTTAGCTCCGAACCTGACAAAAGACCCTTGACTTTGATTCAGTCTTGAGGTTTTGATGTGAAAATTACCAGGAGAAGAGAGCCGATCACCTTTATGCTTATAGTTAGCAGTTTGATAACGAGATCAGATTTGTTAAATGGTGTACGTATTAGAAGAAACATAGGGCATTATAAATGAAACTGATTCAACGCCGTACAGCATGTTTAAGGGTAGAATTTTTGAGGATTAGTAAACCAAGGCACTGCTTGTGGTTTAGGGTCCCAAAAATGTATCAAAAGAAGAGCACGTGTTAGTAGCACGAGAAATACCTGTGCGGAAGATGCCTGCAGCCTGTAAGTTTTCTCATCCTTCTTAAAATGATGAAAAAAAGTCAGGAACTGATTTATCGCACGTCCAAAGCCCCCGCCTCCCGCTTCTTGGCTTCCTTCCTTTAGCCCTTTTTCAACTGCGAAATATTAGGCAATGTCAGGAGCCCATACCCCTTTTTAAACACCCACCCCCACCCTTTCCTCTGCCGCAATCCTATTTCGTGGGGTAGGAACGCGTGGGTAACCCCTAAGAACCTCAGGCTTCCATCCCAGTGCCTCCCCAACACAACAGAATGATTCAGTATAATTTCCAGGAAGAATTTGGCATGTGCCAAACTGATAGGCCTTTCCCGATTGCGCTTGTAAAATCCTAAAAAGGTGCTGGCAAAAATGGCTAAAAAGTGCTCAAAATCTCAAAATAGTGCTCAAAAAGTGCTAAAAGTTGTGAACAGTTACCTCTAAGCTTTTCGTAAATATGTCAATTTTTACTGAAGTAATTAATAATCTATTTTGCGTAGTGTTATTCGATAGGTTGTTACGAAAGGTTGATAGAATATAGAACAATAATATTTTTAAAAAACAATAGCCGGTTACGAATTGTAAATAAATTCAGCAGTTCTAGTGCAAAGCCTAAACATCAGGGGTGCTTACCATTTGACAGAAAAATCCGGTTCGGGTGTCGAAAGCATAATGGTAAGCAATTTGCCAGTTTACCGTAGAAATGGTTTGAATCCAAAAAAGGGCGAATTTGTGTCGCGTGAGTCTGGAACCGACAAGGAGCTGAGAAATTGGTTAATGGTAAGCAACATTCCGTTTGGTTCGTACCAACCAGAATGAAAGGACTACCTCAAAACGTAGTCGTCAAATTTCGGTTGGAATTTCCGAAAAGTGACCTTACCATTTACCTTCCGTCCAGAATTTCCGAAATTTTCCGTCAAATGGTAAGCACCCCAGATGATTTAGAAATTTGAGATGACACATGCATGATTCATCAGCCAATCAGAAACAACAACGGTCTTTTATTCTTGACAACATCATTAGATATTCAAATACGATTCTCGTTGCGTTTTGCTTTAAAATGTTTTAGAAGACATATGTTGCTCAAAATTTGGTCGAAATGTGAAATATTGCTCAAATGTTGCGCAAAGTGCGAAAAAGTGCTTAAGGGTGCTCAAAATGCAAAATAGTGCTCCAAACTCAAAAAAGGGCTCAAAAGGTGCTCAGCGCAATCGGGAAAGGTCTACAAACTGAGCAATCTGTGGGATTTTTATATCAGTCTATACTAAAGCATTGCCATACGACAATGACCTTTAAAAACTCCCGTGCTTATTTATCTTTGATATATTGCAGTGACGTCAATGAGGCTTCGTCATTATTGGTCTATTTTTTGTCTCATTATTGCCTGCATCGCTTCCGAAGGCAGTCAAGAATGGAACAAAGATCACAGTGAACCAAGTCTAAAAGAATGCGATGAAGGAAGCTTCGTGCTCAACACGTGTGAAGAGCAATGTGAATGTAACAACGGTAAACTGACAAGCTGTTACCGTGTGAGAAAAGAGTTCACAGAAATGACCATTGAGGAGAGAAAACGTTATATCAACACTTATAAATTGGCTTCGGTCCATCCTCTGTTTAAGAAAGATTACGAAAAAATGGTCCGTCTTCACCTCAACGCTCCAGATTATCTTCTTCATCACACACCTACGATCTTTTTCCCCTGGCATCGGTGGTTTTTGGTTGAGTTTGAAAACCTACTGCGCAGAATCGACTGTCGCGTTACTGTACCCTACTGGGACTGGAGCAAAGTTGCCCATCATTGGTGGAGAGAATCGGAAATACAGGATCTTTGGAACTCTGGGGATCACGGATTCGGAGGGAATGGAAACGAGGCTAATGGCTTCTGCGTGGAGAACGGACCTTTCAGTAAGGACAAATGGCGTATCTTAGACGTGTCCGGAGGAGGATGTTTAAAAAGGAATTTCACGAAATCCAGTTTCCGCGATGCTGAACACGTTCGCAAAACTTTATCCCTACCGCTGAAAGATTTTTTCCGTTTTGACCAAATTGTTCGTGACGAGTATCATGCTCCGACTCATAATCGGATCGGTTGCACAATGATGGACCCTCGCTCATCATCAAATGCCCCAGAAATGCCTCTTCACCATTCATTCTTGGATAAAATTTGGTATCAATGGCAAAAGAAAGGAGATGACTACAAATATGCCTACTTCAAAAGCATTACATTCAAACTTCCTGGTTCCGAGTATTACGGATGGGAATGGATGGATTCTAATAACCTTCCTGGTGATGTGAAAGTTCTTTACACAGACTAAGCACAACTAAGAACTTATCGGCTACCGAGATCCATGGAAGTGTCTGAATTATAAGACTGACTGATAACAAACAAATTGTTAGGTTAGGGCAATTCTTAGGTAGGGAAGGATATCAAAACGTTACATTGCTAAACAATAGAAACTTTGAAGGGAGTAGAGGATACAGTTCAGATTATTTTTTATCGATTTGACTCGATTGTCATTAACCAGTGGAAGGGAAATGCATTAACCGTAGGCAATTTAATGCTTTTGATTTTTTCCGTGCTAAACCAAATAAACATATCTGAAAATCACAATGTTGTTAGATCCTTGTTGTTTTAACCCTTAGAATCGCCAGTTAAAATAACGAAAGCATTATAGGATGTTGCTTGACTAGGGTTGAACGAGCCCACGTACACTTTTCAGCCAACATCTTGCCTGCAGAACAGGCGATATTATTTTGGCTACTACAAAATTTGCCCACTAGTTAAGTCGGTTTTNACGTGTCCGGAGGAGGATGTTTAAAAAGGAATTTCACGAAATCCAGTTTCCGCGATGCTGAACACGTTCGCAAAACTTTATCCCTACCGCTGAAAGATTTTTTCCGTTTTGACCAAATTGTTCGTGACGAGTATCATGCTCCGACTCATAATCGGATCGGTTGCACAATGATGGACCCTCGCTCATCATCAAATGCCCCAGAAATGCCTCTTCACCATTCATTCTTGGATAAAATTTGGTATCAATGGCAAAAGAAAGGAGATGACTACAAATATGCCTACTTCAAAAGCATTACATTCAAACTTCCTGGTTCCGAGTATTACGGATGGGAATGGATGGATTCGCATAACCTTCCTGGTGATGTGAAAGTTCTTTACACAGACTAAGCACAACTAAGAACTTATCGGCTACCGAGATCCATGGAAGTGTCTGAATTATAAGACTGACTGATAACAAACAAATTGTTAGGTTAGGGCAATTCTTAGGTAGGGAAGGATATCAAAACGTTACATTGCTAAACAATAGAAACTTTGAAGGGAGTAGAGGATACAGTTCAGATTATTTTTTATCGATTTGACTCGATTGTCATTAACCAGTGGAAGGGAAATGCATTAACCGTAGGCAATTTAATGCTTTTGATTTTTTCCGTGCTAAACCAAATAAACATATCTGAAAATCACAATGTTGTTAGATCCTTGTTGTTTTAACCCTTAGAATCGCCAGTTAAAATAACGAAAGCATTATAGGATGTTGCTTGACTAGGGTTGAACGAGCCCACGTACACTTTTCAGCCAACATCTTGCCTGCAGAACAGGCGATATTATTTTGGCTACTACAAAATTTGCCCACTAGTTAAGTCGGTTTTAATAATAATTTACTCTTCCACACTCATCCAGGAAAAAAAACAAATAATTTATTGATAGAAAACACGCGACAGAAACTTATGTTAAGTCCACCTCATTTACACTCTGTATAAATTTATCTGATATGTATTTTTGTAAAATCTCTGTAAAAGACGTATAAAAAATTATGCGCACACAAGATGTGACTAAAGATATTTTTTATGAAATGAAACGCTGGACGATAAAATTTGTGTAAAAAATTTCCATGTGAACGCAACGGATGTGAAAAAAAAATTACTTAAAGGGGCTACTTCATGAAGATATTGTTTATTTCTGTGCTAGCCTTTGTACACCCGCCCCGTCCCCTCAGGATTTTTTCTGAGGGGAGGGGGTGGTTGTACACAGGCTTTTCTGTTGTTTAGCCATTACTTGGTTCCTTTACATTTTCAAAATGCTCTTGTACAGTCATAAAGAAGATATCAAACGATTTTCTTTAGGCGGCACTAACCACAAGATATTTTTAGCGAATTTTGTAGGCACAGAATAAAAACCTGAAAAAAATGGCCTAATGTCATCGCGAGTTTTAATCCATGACCATCTATACCAGTGGTGTGCACAGACGTTGCTTTGTCATGCGGATGCTTTCGTAACAGATGACAGGAAACTAGCCGGTTTCAAGCGTTCGGATAGTGGAGCACCCCCTACCCCACCCCTTCGCTGTTTTTTTTTCTGGTCACATCTCTTTCTAACAGGAAACAGTGTCAATAGCTAAAATAGAGTCTTAACAAAACTGAGCAATATTTTTTAAAAAAATAAAACAAATAGTATGACATTGCCCTTTAAAATGCAGCCCATATCCACTCTACATAAGACTGGCAGTTTAGTCGGGCGGTTTACGTCTTACTAAAACCTAACTCAGAAGCAGCAAATGTCGTAGGAAAGGTAAGAATAAATTACTTTAAAGGAGAGATCCTAAACTCCACGCTTTATCTGTCATATAAAACTACCGCTATTACTAACAAAACATAGTTAACTAAAAATCGAACAGACCTATGCCGCCATATTTTAACACACAAGGCGATACTAAGCTCCAAAATCACCGAAAAATAATTTCAAATTGCAAAAACATCCTTAGCACTTTGATACGATACATTTTCTCTTTTAAAATACATTTGTACACGTTTCTTTCATCATATAAACAATAAAACTCTGTTTGACAAATATTAACAACAAAACACAACAAGCATAGCACGCGAGACCGCTTTGGGCTGATAGTACTAGGGACCCTAAGATCCGAGGACGGCGACGGCAGAGAAAACGTCGCTGAAAAAGTGAATTCGCGTTCTTTCAATCTTCATCACGATTAGTCCAAATCACTAACTTTGTCAAATGTAGGCGAACCCTCCTAAAGTTGAATCCTAAGAACCATATCCAAGTTCAGAAAGAGAGAGGAAATTTCGTCATCGCTTGTGTACTTGCTCTGTACATCGTGAAATTAGGCATTTTCACGTCGTAGTCGTGCAGTGAAATGTACAAAAAAGCGTAATGCATGTGCAAAATTGTTGTTTTGCTAATTAAACCTATTGCTTTTGTGGCGTTCCCGTTGCCGTCGCCGTCTTCGGATCTTAAGGTCCCCAGTAACGGAATAAAACGTAGGGCTGGGAGATCGAAGGGAAAGATGTAGAAGACAGCGTAGCAAGAGTTTGTCACGATGTCTTCGAAATCTTAAAGCCCGCCAGCTCACTTGCAACTTTCTACTTGGAAATCGTGGGAGCAGAAGGGATTTCCCTTCGTAAATGATCGTTTCCATTTATGGCCTTTCGTATGATACATTCTCTTTTGGCCAAAATTGCCAAAATCGTATTCTTATAAACTGTTTTTCATAGCTGATACATCTATAAAAGGTGACTCAGACCCTTTGTACAACTATTGAAGTAAACTCAACTCGGGCTTATAATCTTCGTTTTTCAAAACCTGCGATCAGGCGTTTTTTCTTCGGGGAAGAAGGACCGCCTGATCGCAGGTTACGTTTTTCAGAGTCTATTTAAAAATGTATTTTTTGCCCTATTGAAACTAAATCCAGAGAAAAAATTACATCTATCATGACTAAAAATGGCGTCATCGACCGTTAAAAATGGCAACGAACGTTTACGACAGGGAAATAGGCGGAGGCTAAAGTTCAAGCCTGAAATGCGAACTTTGCCTATCGCGATATTTAAATAGAGACCTTTCTCGCCAGCTAAAAGTTAAAGCAATTTCATTTCTTCACACAATTAACTTAGTCAGCCTAGAGCCCCTTTCCTTAGTTTTAAAAAGAAAGGATATGTATAACGGTTAACCCTTTAAGTTTTAATAAATAATAAAACCTAGTTTCTTCTTATAATACGACGGTCATCAAAGCTGAAATGTCTCGAGTTTGAATAGCCTTCGAGCAAGCTCTCGGCGCCCCTCGCACTCACGTCTACTTTTGCGTGCTGCTCTCGCGTGTCGCTCTCGCGTGACCTCTCGCGACCTCCCCTAATGCGGGAGAGCTTGCTCGCAAGCTAGAGCTTGAAAAGTGGAAGAGCCGAGAAACAACTCTGACAATATTAGAACTAAAAGGGTTAAGAGACCTAAATTATATGAATTTGACTACTTTCTAATCCCATTGGAGACACAGCTTTGTTCTTCTTCTTTAAGCTTATCCTTCTCTCGCGCGACGTTCCACTTGCAATGGTTTCAGTATCTCCAGTAGTATCCACCGAACTATGAGTAGCGTCGCTTTCAAGTGAAGATCTCCGCCTAAGAATTCCTTCGGGATCGTGGCTGAACGATCGTCGGAAAAAAGGAGCAGTGTCATTATTGGTACGCAAGAAAGGACTTGGGTCCGAGGAATTCAGCCGGTCTTCAGCATTGTTACGCCGGAAGCTTGAGGACCTCTGAGAAGAGGCGACCGATAAAGAACCAGCTTTCATGCTTCGTTTTATGGAATCTTTGATGTATTTTACTAAATCTCGTTTCTCCTCGGCAGTTCTGTCAAAACAATTCAGAGCAAAGCTACGTTTAGAGAAAATCTCTTGCATAAAAAGATCAGCAACAAATATTCTTAGAGGGAGGACGGACTTTAAATAATTGTCCGTGAATATCAAAATGCAGTCACTGTCTATCACCTAAAAGGTGTGCATTTCCAATTTGGTTTGGCCATCATTAATATAAAATCAAGTAACATGTCTTTGTTGCATTAAAGGAGAGGTGTCACGAAATTTATCAAAATTCAAACAGTGATAACAGCCACCAAATTGGGTGAAACACTAAAATAACTGCTTTGAACATTAAAAGAAGGTATTAATATTAAGCAAAGACAAAAAGAGGCACGGATAGACAAAAGTTGAAGAAGATTGAAACGGATTGCTATTGTGGTTTTTTACTGTCAGTAAACTTCACTTTTGTTGTTTGTAACGTTTGATATAATGCTTGGGAAAAATGTGTTTGACACGAAGCTCAAAAATTTCCATTCACAAGTAATATCTCAAGTTCCACAGTGAATAACGAAGCGTAATTGGCATTATTAATACAACGAACAAGACAGTGAGTGAGTGTGACTGTGAGCCCCTTTAGTCTTTCAGATCCTTGTAAAGATTTGAATTACACCTAAGAAACAAACTCCCGCACTGAGGAAAGATTTACTGTGTACTTGTA